ATTATAACTCATTCTCAAGTATGGGTCAAAATCTCCAACTTAGAGGCCTCAAATGGAAAATTGTTCAACTAGAAAGTTGCTCAAAATATGGTTTTTAGGCTAACCAAGAACTCATGATGAATTGTTGTGGCTCATATCAAAGATTGGTGTGAAGTGGTTTGAATAAGGAAGAAATTCAAAGGCAATTTTGGTGGGAAATTGAAATAAATGGTTATGGGTCCAAAACAAGTCAAATAAACACTCATTTTAATCAAAAAATATGTTTTAGAAACATTGGCAATTTTGGAATTTTCATTTGAAGTGTGCTTCATGGCCTTTCACAAGATTTCTTCACATAAAAGTTACATCACACAATTCCTTCACAAAGGCAATGTGGAGATTCCTTTTGGGTTGAATTCATTCCAAATGAAATATGTAAGTCATCCAAAGCTTCCAATGCAAGCTATGAAGCCAATTTCATGCATTACCATAACCAAAATTTTGAAGAAAAGTTGGACTTAGATTTTTAATTTTGGGTTTGGGCCTGAGCTCTAGAAGGTTCTAAACAATCCTATAAAGGTCTAGGAGCTCATCAGAAACAGAGTTGGTGATTGATTGGGGTTGGAAGCAAAGATCACCATTAAAGCTTGAAGAAGAAAAGTGAAAGAGTGAATTTCTGTTAGAGGCCGTTTCAAGCACAATTGAGGATTCAATCTTTTTTTAACATCATCACTCATTGAATCTGGAACGTTTTGGATCAAGAATCAAGCCGGAAAGAATCCAATTGAAGCTCGAACGTATGTTCTTACTTCTTGAATTTTCTCTTAATTTATGTGGTTTCAATGCATTAGAATCTTGTGGTTAGGTTCACCTTGAGTTGTAGATGATTTCTGGGCGAAGAATTTGATGTTTAGTGAGATTTTAGGATTAGATTCGTTTTCGGTTGAGATTTGGAATTTTTGATTCGTAGATTTTTAGGCTGTTTAAGTAGTATATTTGGATTCCTCTCGAAATTTCATGCAAAATTGGTTCAAGAATCGTTGCAAACGGATAAATATTGAGGGAGTTATGGTTGTTCAAAGTTTGCCGAAAAAAAAACTCCATATCCATGGCCGCGGGTACTGTTCATGAAGTGCAGAAAATTCAATTGGGGAAGAAGAGCAGCAGCCGTTAGTTCGTGAGGGAGAGGGTACTTAGTCTCCCAATCAGACGAAGGAGAGGGAGCCACGCGGCCGGACGTCAGAACAACGTCGTTTTGGCTTCGCGTGGGGGCTTCAGGCACGCGGGTTCGATCCCGCTGTGGCGCTTTTCTTTTTATTTCAATTGATTTTCGTTTTGCCTTGTGGAGTGACTCCAAGCGCGTGTGTTCGAATCCTGGCAGGGTACTCTTTTTTCTTTTCCTTTTCTTTTCTTTTTTTCGTTTTTGTTTTATTTTTGTTTCTCATGGGCCTGGGTCACGCCTTGCTGTGCGCACCCCCCTTTGGGCCCAGTCTGTGGAATTAGCTGAATTTTATTGCTATTTAGCACACAATTTTGTCATTTTTTCATTATTTTCTTTTAATTTCATATTTTTCTTATAGTATAGAAATAAATCCATAATAAATAGGAAATTTAATCTTTTTAATCCCAGTTTTTTTTCCTTGATTCCTTAGAATGTGTAGAATTTAATAGGATAAAAAAATATTTGATTCATGCATTTTAGATTTTATTTGCATTTTTGTACTTTTAATGGCTTTTTATTTTGATATGTTTGGTATGCCATTTTGCTGATTTTATTGTGAATGATTGGTGTATGATTTTGAGTTGATTTCTTTTGGGCTAGTTAGCTTAGATATGCATGTACCCATAGTAATTTTCTCATATTTTTGTGAGAGAAATTTAGGCTAGTTTGAGCATTGGACATTAGGTGGTTTAGAATTAGGGTTTTAATATGATAGCTTTAGGATTAGGGCATAGTTTTAGGTCCAAATGAATGGTTAACCCCCTGGTTTTTGTATGAGAGATTCATAAGAGGTTTAGGAACCCTTAGTAAATTTTGTAGGATTTTACAATCATGTTTGGTATTTTAAGTAGAATTAGTTTTAAGACTAACTTCTAGGTGTTTCTGATGAACTAATTTGGATAGTTTAATTCAATAGTTCCCCTTAGACTAGGGTGGTGTTGCTTTTGAGCTTGGGTAATCATGAAGACCAATTGAAGGTGCTTTGGAGAGCTTGAAGGAGCTTGGATGTGAAGATTTCTCATCTGTTGGAGTGCTTGTCAGGAGCTTAGGAGAACTAGGGTTTTAGGAAGAGCATTAGACTAGTTTTGCTTCTTTCTTCAAACATGGAGTATCTTGTCCATCTCCATTCTATCCAATGATATAAAGTCCTCCTTGGGAAGCTCCATCTCTCCTTAGGAGGGATGAGTGGTATGCCCAAGTGAGTAGAACTTTGAGGATACCTTTCATTTGCAATGTTAAGTCCTTAGTGATTTCCCTTGGTTGTCATTAAGTCTCTTAACATTTCAACTTGATCTTGTTGGTTTGATTCTCCCTTGGAGATTCTTGTTGAAGCTTGGTAAAGAGGAAGTGGTGTGCTTGTTGAAGCTTGGTGAGGATGGAGTCAGTAGCTTGTTGATGCTAGGGTTTTGCTGCTTATTGGAGTTGAAGTCAAGAGCTTGTTGAAGCTGGTTACTGGTTAGGGTTTGAGCTTGCTTAAGCTGGGAGCTTGTTGAAGCCTGGTGCTTGTTAAAGATTCAAAGTTTATTGAATCTTGAAGATGGGAGTTATTCATGAAGATGAAGGTTGTTGCTGTCAACTCTTTGATGGTTAATCATCTGTTGCTGTCAGAGCTGCTGTTTGCTGTAGGAGTTTGGTGCTGCTGCTTGGGCTGCCTTCTCTGCTTTGGGGTTTTGTTTTCTGTATTGTTTGTTGGCTTGTGTAGCTTGCCCCCTAGGTTTGAGGTGAATGTTGATTCAT